GTAATAGACACTAGAGACACAAAACAAGTTAATTAGCCCAGATTACTATATATTAATAGATTATGAAAACAGAAAAAAATCACCTGAAGAGTCCAAACCGGACAGACTGCATCAGCTGGGGAACACAAATGTGCTCAGTAAATTTCTGCCCACTATGTTTTGATACTTTCTGGGTACATGTGGAACTTTCAGCCAGAAGAGACTGAAGCATGTTCCATCATTGCATTGCTAAGAAGAAATGAAACATTAATTATTAATAATTTTAACATAACAGCATTTTCTATTGCAACTTTCTGGGAATGTGTCACTGGGTTATTAAGTCACATAACATCGTTACTTTAAAAAGGATAAGGGTGACTCAGGGTAAAGATCCATTTTACGAGTAAAACTCTGTTCTGAGAAAAACACAAAACATAAAATGTATTCTGTTTTGTGTAGCAGTACACACTTATGCTGCACGCTACATGTCTGCCATTGCAGACAGGAGCTGTTTTCAGTTAAACCCCAGGGTCACCACCCCTTCCTGTCCTTCCAGGCTTCCAGCCTCACACAAACACACACAGTACACAATGTGTGTACTTGTGTATCCAAAAAAATCAGGATGTAAATGAATAAAGCACCAGTGTGCTACACATCTACAAACGTGTGTATCCTTCAGATGTACAATAAAGGCAGAATATGTGAGCTGCTGTTAAATTGAGCAGTATGAATGTAAGATCTGTCGGCCTGAGACGGAGCGTTTTTATCAAAGGGGGCTGCTCTTGGCACTGCCTCGTCATCTCTTCTTCCCCTCTAACTGCCGTGCGCCTGCTATCTCCCACAGTGATGCCACACAAAGATACCAGACTCCCCTCGCTGCAATACTTGCCAGTAACACTGCTGCCTTACTACTGTGCATTTTAACTCTCCAGCTCATCCATCTGTCATCCTCTTTGTTAAGTTTAAGTTAGCTAGCCCTGTACCGGGAGCCAGCAGGGTGCAATGACATTAGTTTTTGTTGCTCTTTTACTAATTTTTGCCAAGTACCAAAATCTTAAAATGATGCTTCTCAGCATAGGGACCAAGTTTAAAGAGTGTCCTTGCCAGTCACCCTGTGAAGCTGCATGTCCCACTGATTCTGCATGTGACCTGGTTCTCTAATTTTGTCTACTTGTCTTCAGCATTTCTATCCTTATTTTTTTGGGGGGGGCTTACCTCCATGAGAATCAATTAGAAATTCATACATTGATGAAAGAAAAATATATAGCTAAAAGCCCAATCATAGTGTGATAATAACTAGTTAGGACTTTCACAACAACTTACATTTCAGTTCACAGAATATTTTCAGGCAGAAAAAAAAAAAAACTTGATTCATTCATGAGGACTAACGTTCCAACTAATGACTTGCTTCAGTTAACAAATATATTCTTATCTGAGGCTGCACAGAACAGCCAGTACAACTGTTCAACACTGATAATCTCCTGAAATCAGGAGGCAGGTACCTCTGTCAGTGGACTGTTTTTTCATCTGCTCTCCCATTCTCCCCACAGTTTTGGTAAGCCCTTCAAGCACCAGTCTGCCTCTCCACCCGGAGGCAAACTCTCTCTTCCAGAACATACAAGAATAATTCACTCAGTGAAATTTGAACATGTATAAAGTATATGTATAATTATTCCACAAACTAGGAAGTGCCACCCGCAAATACACAATCATACACCAATGCCCTTAACAGCATTTATATGCAGACGTTCGCATTTCAATTAAACTGGCCACTTTTCAGTACTGCAAACACTTTAAATGGTCTAAATGTCATAGTTCGGTAGAAGAAACGGTGCAAATATGCTTAATATTGTTTCCACAGGTCTTACAAGCAATTTCATGCTGACTCGATTCTTTCTTGTGCTGCTTTAATTTGCTCATATTTTGTAAATGATCAGAAGTAATTAGTTGGGACAAAAGTTTGTTGTCAGTAGAGAAATTACTCTGTTGTTCCACCGGAAATCGACTGAAAACAAGATTACAATCATATTTATCACAATTTATTAATTATCTTGAGACATCACAATATATTTGTTTTCTAAACCCACTGATGTTAGTGATGTAATAATATTTTGCACCTCATGTGACAGCTGCCACTTTTCAACTTTCAAACCCAACACATGGTCAGGAAAAGTCTCAGCTGCCTTGCTTGTGTTGATACCTTATTCCTCGAAGTCAGAAAAGCAACAGCAACTGACTTTTGCCTCTAATAAGGCCATTTCCGGGGCGAGCATAAGAATTTAAAAATAACTTGTTTTTATGACATCATGGCCCCTTGCAAATGGAAACCACTCATTTAGTATTGAGAATACAATTTACAAAGCACTTAACAGAACTGTAAAAGGTCTTTCGGATGGTTGAAAAGCCTTGTCTGAGGATGGAAATCAATAACACTGCATCTCTCTTCACTTTGTTCGTCAATCTTTCTTTCTTTTTTAACATCAGATGACTATATGAATGTTGTAGAACGTCTCACACATTAAAGTCTATGGATATGATTGACATATACGGCACCGAACCACATACTAACATCATGCACATGTAAACAAACTTACAAAAAAAAAAAACATTGCTCAAGCCGTTGCTTTAATTCACAGTTGTATCACAGGTAGTTCAAACTGGGATAATCGTGCAAATCAAGTCAAAAGCCAAGTCACAATCTCATCAATTATCAAAGGAAAGGGACACAGAGACGATGCAATTGAGCTCCTACATCTTCCTAGCATTAATTAGAACTTCATTCTGTAATTAGCTAACTGAAAATAATTACCATCAAAATATCTGATTAAAATCTCCACCAGTCTCAAAGTCAGAAGACTTAAAAAGAGACACCGGCATCAAATTAATACGTGCTACTTTTTCCGACGACGTCCACCACGGTTGTCCCCTCATTTTCTTTTAATTGAGCGGCAGATATGTGGGTAGTACCTCTGATTGGATCTGAGAAGCAGCAAAGCATTGGAACAGTTGATTGAAAGTGACCTTGGTCTAATTACAATTGGTCTCATTATAATTCTCTGATTACATCCCTGCAGGAAATGTAAGAATAAGATGTTGTTGGTGGCCTCTGCTAATGATGTTATGATATATTTGGAGTGATTTGTGAATTGGATTGATTCTTGTGAGATAGGAAGAAAGAACAATATACTGTTGCTGTCACCTAAAGAACAATTAGATTTAATTACTGTAAATGTGTTTTGTTTATTTGTACTGAGATGCGTTTCAGACAATCAGAAAGATGTGTCTGTTTTCCCTCTTTGTGATGCCTCCCGTTTTTCTATCAGTCTTAATGTTCCCCTCTATGTTTCCACCTCTCTACTCTCCTCTCTGTCTGTCTCTCAAGGCTGAGGTCATGCTGCCCTCCAGCTCTCTTCCTTGAAGCCAGGATGACATCATCACATAGCTGCCTCGTCCTCGGAGTGCCTATTCATCACCGCGATCATCATCGCCAGCATCAGCAGCCTCACCACACATACCTACTGCAAGAAGATAAAAGAGAAGAGAGCCCGACCAGTTCTGCAGGATTGCAAGCCCAAAGGAAAGAGGGAGAGAACCACAGAAAGGGAGAGAGAGAAGAGGAGGGACGATCCTGCTGGGGTAGGCAGAAACCCCTGACCTGTGCACTTCCAACAATACATCTCAATAAACCACAGTACAGACAAATTTGATGAGTCAGACTTCAGGCTACAGAGGGAAAACAACAACATAAAAAGCAAGAGAGTTGAGTCCCCCCACCCCTTCTCCACCTTGCAACATCCCACATGGAGAGGCAGACTTCCTCTCTCTTAGTCACCAGCTAATCCTAAATTCTGGTTACTGGGTGGTGCATAACTGAATCAACCCATGCCTTGATGTGTGGGAATTACAGCAGCGGAGCCCCGCTGAGAAAACACAGCAATAAACAATGCTTCCAGCACACAAGCCACTGTGTCTGCCTGCCCAGTCTGCTCTTCAGCATAATCCGCTCAAAATACTCTCAAATACAGTGTATTGTGTATGTGCAACATTTGCTGTTCTCTGGCTGAGTACAAGTAGCGAGTACTATAAACCTTAGGCAGTATGTTCTCTATACTTCTTTATCTCACACTTTGAAGGTCACAACAAGGATTTAAAAACACCACCTCAGGTCAAACAATCTCACATGGTCGTAAAGACAAGTTGCAACCATATGATAACCAAGCAGTGCAAAGCATATCAGTATGTCAGTGATGAGTCTCAGTGTCATGGACTGTATGTGCACCGAATTAGCGCCTATTATATTGATATCAGCTCTAAATCCTAAATCCAGTTTTATATGTACCATTTTAATCACAAAACACCAGAAACAAGCGGCTCTCTGTCATTAATATTGCTCTTTGCATCATATAGGAAGCTATAAAGTTTCATATTCGATAATGTAAACAAAGCAGAGACAAGCAGATGGAGACACAGACGCTGGAGTGCCGTGCTGCCCTCAAACATTACCTTGATGAGACTTCATACAGGCAAATTATACAATATAGCCTTGGAATTGTGAAATGATCCTATCTTACAATATCAGTATATTTCAGAATGTGCTTTTTCCAAAGTCTGCTTTTGCTTTCACTTTTATTTCATAATGCCACTTGTCATCAATTAGTCTTTGTGTGTCGATCAAGACAAATAGGGAGTTACACTATGTGATTTTGGCTGTCCGCACATTCACGTCAAAGCAACAGTCCAACACAGAAATGACCGGCAACCAGCAAAAACAACAACAAAAGCTGATGAAATACCATTTTATAGTAATGAGCTTTATAATTTTGTTGTGGTATTCACAAGATCTAGTTATACATTATAAAATGTGACTGTTTAATCAAACAATTATTTATTTTATAACGTCAAATCTATTCAATACTGAGCACTTAGTATCTCCATTTAATATGGCATCTCCCAGCACAGATTCCTAAGCTAAGCGGAGAGAGCCAGAAAGAGCAAGGAAAGCAACATCAGTGTAGACTCACATAGTCATGGAAAGCCTTGGCCTCACTGGAGTGTTCACATGTGTCTCTTCTCTCTGGAGCTGCACAGTAAAGGTCCCAGAAAACACTACAGCGAACAAAGAGGCACCGAGAGGAGAATGGTGACAAACCGGAAGCACTGGTGCCTGACCAAATAAATCAATTTTAAAGGCAGCATCAAGGCAACAAGTATGACTGTATTATCATCAGAGAAAACCAACAAGAGGAGGAGGAAGAGGGAGAGCGACCATTTTATTCTGTAATGTCAGAGAATAAAAACAGCATGCATCTTGACTCATTAGACACCAAAACACTCACCACCACCATGAGTGGAGGAACCCCGGAGGTTCTCCTAATGTAATGTTCTTCTCCCATCGGATCTAGACAGAGAGAGAAAGAGAATGAGATGCTTCAGAAACATATTGAGTGTAAAAACATGCCCGACATCTGTATACCTGCTTTACAAGGCTGGAGAGGGTGCAGGGGAATTCTTATAACACATGCCATTATCTAATTATATTATCATTCTCATGCCATGGATTCTAAGTGGATAAGTGAGTCTATGTGTGCCTTGAAACTTTGTGTGTGTGTGTGTGTGTTTCCAGAGTCAGGAGGTGCACAGTCTGAGGTAAGAGACATGTACCTGCTCCTTATTTACAGTATGGCCTTCCTTGTAACTGATATCCATCCTGAATTGCTTCTTTATTGCTTTTATATATTATTTCTTTTCTTTATAGTTACTGTAATATAAGATTTCTTCCTTGCTTTTCTTTTTTCCATCCCTCATGCCTTCCTTCCTAATAGATTAAAAATTGAGGTACAAACTAGCTTGTGTCCAGCCATGTCTGATGGTAATGTGTTTATTTTAATTTATCCTTATTTAAGCAGGAAGGTCCCATCAAGACACACGATCTCTTCTAGGGAGCCCTGGTTGTATAGCTGTTAGCCAGCTGTCTTAAAGAGGGGTGCGATGATAATCCCTAATGGGAATAAGGTTGTATGCTTGCAAGATACTGTATCTTTTCCTTAAAGGCATTCACCATAAAGTTTTTTAAGTAAAAGTAACAACTAATTGTGTGAAGAATGCTAAAAGAGAGCTTGAGTGAGAAGTTAAAAATTCTGTCATCTTTCTCACCTGTCAGTAAGTCGGTTTTTGAAAAGTAAAAGTATCTGATAATGAAGTGTTATTGTATAGTATTGTGTAAAAACAACAACAACAAAAAGGAACAAAACAAAAAAACCCTCTTTTGTAATGTTAAAAGGGAGACGCAAAACAAAAAAACCCCCTCTTTTGTAATGTTAAAAGGGAGACATACTGATAATAAATTTTAACTCTGTATTGTTTGTCCAACAGTCTTACCAACCCTCAAAGCTAATGTTAGCTTAATTAGCTGACAATCAGAACCTGAAGGCAACGCTATTTATTTCAGCTATTAACTTCAGCTATTAATTTGAAGTGGTAAATCCTTGCCCCTGTCATCACTGTTAACTGCACATGTTGTTTGGTAAATTCCAAAAGTGAGTCGCAGAAAAGGGTTTGGGTTTCAGACACTGTTCAACCACCTGACAAACACTTCGGTCGAAGCATTCTGATGCCTTAACACTCTAGTCAAGGTCAATAACAACCAAGAGTGCTGACATCACCTAGAGTGCAGATGATTATATCTGCACACAGTGTCCAATGGCTGTGCAAATACATACAAACACACAAGACACACATGCATCTGCGGGCAGCAGTCAGATCACATGATAACATCATTGTTTTGTCTGCCACTCCCATCTTTAAACAGACCCACATTACTTTCATTCTGACTGGTCAAGTGATCCTCTGTCTTTTTATTTTCCCTCATTAAAATGCCTCACGAGTATAAGAGCTAAAATACTGTAACAGAAAAAAAAAATGATTCGCTGCACTTTAAATCAGACTGTCCTGACTTCAGGTGCAGATCAGACACAGAGGTGTTTCAAAGGAATGCCTTTAAAGTTATCCCATGTTTTGAGTCTAAGTTCTAGTACTAGACTAGCTTGATACATTATAGGCAGCCACCAATTTCCATACGCACCATTAGAAAGAAGGATTTACTCCCTCGTGATAGCCCAAATGGTACAAAGATGCGGAATGGCAATGACATCCCTCATTTCTCACATTTAATTGGCTGTAGCTCAGTGCAAACATGACTCCAGACAGTTCAGGTCAGGACACTTTTTACAGTCACTTGCTCTTTTACTCCCCATTCATCTGGAAAGCATAGAAAAACAGCAGTGACTGTGTCGGCATATCCTGTCTTCTTGTGGTGTGTGCTCCTGGGAGGTTCATTTACCTTCACCATGCTACAGTTAGACCCCTTTGGTGTGATTAGTGGCAGATGGAGGCTGCTCTCATTCTACTGAGGGCTTAGACTGAGGAAAGCCCTGCCTTCACAGTTTTCTTTCTCCCCATATAAATAAACTTTTAATCTTTTTATTTTCAATTTATTTCTTCATGCATTATGTTAATTATGTGTCTTTTTGTTATTATTGTTGGAGAAATCAGTTTAATTTGACAGGGTTCCATGGTTTCTTATAGGCTGCTCTTCTGACCCATCTGTCTTTAACATTTGCATGTACTGTAGGTATTCGGGTCTGATTCGTGACTCGTCTATCTGGGCTCTTGTTTCCTGCGCCTGAGGACACATTTTAAACAGATGGGGATGATAAAAAGTGAATAACAGGCCTTTAAAGCCATGTTGTACTCCACCCCACTATTCCAGCAAGAGCTACATTATGGTGTAATGTTTACCCTGTCTGTGTACATATGTGTGCATGTGTGTTGTGTACAAGCTGTGTTTATACTTGTTGCCCTCTTAGCTAACGCGTTCTCACACTTGAAAACGACACCGCCTATCCTTTTTATCTCTCACATCTGTCGAAGACAGAGCCAGTGATATGGCAGAGGAAAGGGTGTCAGAGAGACACAAGTGTGTGTATGTGCATATGCACGAACACGCCAATTCAGAGTGATGAGAATTGGTGCCAGCTTATGATGTAACCTTTTCCATCCCCCTCTCTTTTGTTCTCTTCTTCCTCTGGCCAATCTACAACAAGCTTCTAGCTACTGTCTTCTATGCTGTAATTTACTGACAAAACACCAGAATCAACTGACCTCATTTTCATCCCTTCACCTTTTTTACCTCTGCAGAATTAAAGTGAAGACAAGCTCACATCTAAGGGAGAGCAGTGGATAGACAGATCAATACGAGAGTGGAAAGATCACAAAGAAAGTATGCAGATGCAAAAGAATAATAATAAAAAAAAGACAAGAATGAGAGCGAAAGAGTTGAACTGCTGCAAAGATCACAAAATGATGTTAGCTGAATAGATCACCTCCAGTCTGATGAGTGTAACTCTGTTTGCTCTGGCTCCAAATCTACTAAATGCAACACTAATGTTAAAAAGCCCATCGGCTGCTGTTAACCTGTTGGCTCAGCACTGTAAGTCCAAGCTAATTCAGTTAGCTGCTACATTTACTGGACACACTGTATGAGGGTCAAACCACCCTTCAGTGTGGACACATAGCACAGTACATTGGATGTAGTCTCTGACACATACACATAAAGCACGACTTACCTCTGAGAGAAAGGTCTGTGCTGACTTCTGTGCTCCTACATGCAGCAGGTACTCATACACATACAGAGCTAACCTGCACAGAAAAACACAGTGGGAGCAACATTCAATCAATAGATGTTAGATTAGTATAAAAACAGGTTAACACTATAGGACATATGACACTAGAAACAGAAAACAACTGCTTTGGCACCAAAGACAACTATACTTCCTACTCCACATTTTAGATAACTCCATTTCTAGCAGGGAGTTTCTCTGAGTATCGCCTAAAGATAAAGACAAAGGAGCCAATGCATTAATGCAAAATGACAAACAGTCCCAGAATGCAATGTACAGTGATTTGTGAGGGTGTCACAGTCACTTACAAATCTCATGAGAAACCGAAAGACACACACAGGCTTATAATCATAAATCACCACCCGAATGCCAAACAACAGGCCATTTTAGGACATTTAAAATTCACCCAAGCTCATTCTACATCTAAAACCCACGTTTTTGAGCAACAAACAACACGACGAACTAGTGGAACTGCACTGTGAAAGACCTCACCCTGTGCCTCGGGCTGTCCCCGGAATCGCTCCCATGCCTTTGGTCACACTAAGAATTAATTACAGGCTTGATTTGTTAAACAATTCTCCTCATTGTGTGCAGCATCTTAGAGAAGACTTGGGGTGACGAGCTCCACAGGAGATCAACAACAGCTCACAACAAAGTCTTACATTTAAGATGGTGGAACTAATGTGCTTTAGGCATTCATGTTTGAAAAATTACTCACATGATGAGTAAATTATCAAAATAGCTGCTGATTTGTTTTCTGTTTATCATCTACTGGCATTAAGTGGCAAATCATTTCAGCTATAAATACGGATATGATAACGGTGATGGGCGACACGCCTCATAGCAAGGAGGTTCTGGGTTCGAGCCTGGGCTGATCTGGTCCCTTTCTGTGCAGAGTTTTCATGTTCTCCCTGTGCGCCTCCATGGGTTCTCTGGCTTCCTCCCACAGTCCAAAGACATGCAGCTTAGGTTGATTGGTGACTCTAAATTGCCCGTAGGACTAAGTGTGAGTGTGTGTGTGGTTGTTTGTCTACATGTCAGCCCTGTGATAGACTGATGACCTGTCCAGGGTGTACCCTGCCTCTCGCCCAATGTCAGCTGGGATTGACTCCAGCTCCTCTGCGACCCTCTTCAGGATAATGGATGGGGGATTGAAGCATGATGCAGGACAAACTTTGACCTGGATCTCGGTGTGTCTGTGTTTGTGTGTACATGTGTATGATTATGTATAGTGAGGCTTGAAAGATGGTCAAACTGGGACAGCAGCTGTCACAGAAGCCATGCTGAAAGGAGCCACTAGTCCAGACCCCTCTTATATTGAGGTAAAAATAAACTTCCCAGACAGCCGTGTCTGCCTGTCTGAAGATGATGGACTGCACACCTTTCTGCTCTGCGCACAGGTACGCCATCTCCTTGCTTCCCCACCCCCTCCCTCTTTACTCCCCCTCCTGCATTTCCATCTCTCTTCACCATCACTTTCATCTCCTCTCTTTCTCGTCCTCTCACAGTGCCTTTTCTGCCTTGCTTGTACAGATCTCTTCTTGCATTCCTCCTGGTAAGAGGCCATGATTGTTTAATGATGAAGGGAATCTCTTCCTCTTTGTCCTTCTCTCCCTCTTTTCCATCCCCACATCTCTCCTTTCCCCTCATAGCCCTGCAGTAATGTTTAACCAAAGAGACAAAGACAGAACGTTTCACAGGGACAAGGTTAACGGAACAATGTGCAGCTTGACAAAACTCTTGACACCTCGACAACTGAGCATGAATAAAAGATGTGCCCATTTTTTCAAGGCACTGTACATGTCTGAACATTTAGAAGAACAAACTTGTTCAGTCATTCTGTTCTGCACTGTTTTCCTGGTGACCCGTCTGAATCTGTCACTCTTCCCTCTCAACCCTAATGTCAGCTACAGCAGCAGCACTATAGACCTATGTATTATTGCATGTATCACAGTAATAGCAATGACCCTGATAGCTGCATAATTCTTTGTATTAGAAGGTATAAACAAAGACATGAAAGCTGGTCCAAAGCATGCATTGGCCTGTATCCAGTCAGCTATGTATTACAACACAAAAATGCAGGCTCACACAAAAATGCAGGCTCACTCGATAACTGCCTTTGAGGGAGACTTAAAGGTTTGACCTATGATTGATTTCACAGAAGAAGATCTGACCTGTGGACTCGGTGTAGAAAAAGGGTCAAAGAAAGTGTGGAAACCAAGGCAGGGTAGACGGATGAGGGCAAAGGAAGGGATCAAGGTGACACAGTAAAAGAAACAGAACCAGAGGGTATCAGAGGTAAGTAGGCTAATGCAAGTTTTGGAGAGGAAATGAAAGGGAATGAAAATAAAGGATGTCCCAATGCATTCACTGCTCCTAACCTTAATGCACTGATGCTTGCAAATATGTACACATAAGTCAGACTTCTACCACACTTCTCTCTTTACCTCAATCTCTTTGTATTAACACACAACCAGCAGCAGGCACATTTGAAGTAGGCAGGCAGTACAGCTGCATACGGAGGCACTTTGTTAGCATTCAATATCTGTTGAACTCAAAACTAATAATTTTCTCAAAGATGAGTGAAAGGCTTTGAAAACACTAAACCCCCCCTTCTACACCCTGCTCTCTCATTGTTCAGTTACTACTTGTTCAGTCGAGCCTCGCTCTGATAAAAGCAGCCAACTATGTGGAGTTTGACTGAGGCAAAATACTGAGCACAGATAAGGTTGGAGGATTAGAGGACTGTAGAAGGTTAAGAATCCTCTAAATTTGACACATCAGTGTGAAAGCATAACAAAGACTCTCTCGTCATTAAATAAAGTGTCGGTTTAAATAATCTCTACATTAGAATTTGAGGTAAAAGTTCTCACAGTAAGGCAGCCGGTGCATTTAGTCCATTCATTCCCATTAAAGCTCTTGTGGTGTTTGCCCTTGCTGTTAGAAAACTGAGCACTTTTTTTTTTATCTCCAACCTGTCTACCTTGGTAATTTGTGTTGTAAATAAGAACCTCTTTACATTAATCAAAACTGTAGACAGGATGATTGAAGAGACACATGCACGTGTGTGTGTGTTGTGTGAGGTAGTGATGGTGAGTAGGTGCAAGTGAAGAACGTGGGGCAGAGGTTGTGTGTATATGTGTATGTAGAGGGGACTTAAAGACCCACACCTCACCCTTTTGTCCTTCTGTGAGTCAGATTTAATTAAATTCATATTTGAAGTTGCCCCCCCAACACACACATACACACTCTTGCTGCTCCTGTAAACCTGCACAGGATGAGACAGTCAGTGAGCTTGAAGAGTCAGAGACTTGAGCTTAGCTTAATGAAGGCAGCAGGCAGAAACAGTGACCAGCTTCTATGCTGCGTTGTTACTGAGCCGCGCACAGAGGCAAGCAGAGAGATGAGAGTATCGCAAAGTCTCAAACAAAACCCGTTTCCTCAGGATCAGCATTTGGGAGGGATAAGTAGATCACTGTTAATCATTTTACTGCCATGGAGCTCAAAGTCAGGCAAATCACAACAGACAATGGCTTCAGTGATTGAATTTGCCTGTTATAGATTAGCCCCAGATTATTTCACCCTTGTTAAAGATGAAATGGAAAAGTGATTACACTTCTGCTCTGAATCGGCATGTTAATTGACATGTTTACAAGGCCTGCTACCATGCGGACACAGTCTAACACATATTTGACCAGGAAAATCTAATGAAATGTTAAGTATGTGAAAAGTAATAAAGTTCTTGTCAGTAAACATTCCATCCCCATCAGTGACATACCTCTTCAGCAGATTTATAACAATTACAATACGGCCACAAAATTCCATTCCAATTTGTATTTTGTAACTGAACATTTTTTTTATTTAAAGCCACACCTGCAGATATTTTTCTGTAAAAATTACAATTC